CCGTTCAGCTCTGTCTCTTCTCCTGGGGACAGATACTTCCCCTCCTTCCTGCAGGCAGAGACACGAGGGGAAAGAGATCTGGAGTGCAGATCAAGCTGCTGATTTGCTCTATTCAGGAGGATACACACAGCAGTGACAGAAATGTTCACTGAATCTGTGGTAGCAAAACACAGTGGATTTCACTGTATTTCCTGAGTTGTTTTAACCAACGAATGTCACAAAGATTGTTTCACGTGCCCTGTATTTCTTATTGTTGCAAGAAGCTCTAGCAGCTGTGCATTTAGCAAAAGTAAACAGCATGTTCTTCCCCACTGTAAAGCTGCTTTTTCTTCTTTTTCAAACAAATCTAAAGTGATTTTTTTGTTTTACTCTCTGGATAGACATGGTACCTACACAGAGTGGATGCAGGTGTACTGCATGGTATACTGTACCTAATTTTTCAGTTGCCTCTTCTAAGTAGAGCTTGAGAGAGGAAGAGACTGTTCTAGAAATAGCCGTTTGACAGGCATAAGAGAAGTGGAAAAAGCACACAAATTGTCCCAATGAGCTGTTATTTTAACCCTTTCCTTCAGACAGGGGAAAACAAACACATACTCAAAGGGCTCATCTACATAATGTCTTGTTATTGTGTCACCTCATAAATTCCTCCTCCCTTACTGATTCTTTTCCAAGTCCAGTGGTAGGTTGCTGCATTTCTCTGACTATCAAAGTTAATACTTTAGCCCCAATCGAGTGTAGATTAAAAACATTGCCATCCTATTAGGGGACTTTGTGTTCTTCCGTGTATCCTAATTTGTGATTTAGCACTGCCCAAATGCTCCATCATGTGAAATCTTCACTCAGTTTTGGATGAAAATAACTAAATTTCTGCACTAGCCACAAGAGTGCTTAATAAAACATCAAAAGTCTGTTAAAAGGAGCATGCATTGACATTGTCACTTCTAAAAGCTAGCTGTTTTGGTTTGTTTTTAAACCCCGTGTTGATTCATATATTTAGCTTTTGTCAGCTGTCTTATTCTAGACTATTTGAAGGTAGAGTGAAAAAAACAATGCAGAGAAAAAGAGAAGCCATTTTTCTGACAAGTCTTAAATGTGAAACCCAGGCCCGGTCTCTAATCATGTCTTATTTAAAGCAGGGAAGTCTTAACTGCTACTTTTGTTATAAACAGTATCTCATTAGTTATTAGCATCCGTTTTATATAGCGAGTGTTCTCGCTGTTGTTGATATCCAGCTAATTCTTTTTAACAAATACTTCCATAACTGAATGAGCCACCACTTACCACAAAAGGTATGGGAACTAAAACAGATAGTCTGTTGCTGTGAAGTTTTATGGGCATACCCTCTTATACCAGAACACAGCAGAATAAAGGCAGTGGTATCATAGAATCTCAACACAGGGAATGTGTATAATCAGGCGGGAGTTAAGTAGAGCACAGGGACAAGATAGCATTTTGATTCACTGACTAGATGGGCTTCATTTAGGTAGGGTAAAGATACCTTAACTATCTCCAGTCCTAAAAAAAAAAAATTGTCTTACCATGGTAATGTTAAAGTTTATGCCCATGAAAGTTTAACTGCAGCTAGCACTTGAACTACCTTGGGGTAGAGTACACAAACTAAGCAGAGGTTATGGTTGTAAGGTCTTTAAAAGGAATCCTGTCTGAAAAAATACGAGCTTCTCTTGAGATGTTTCCTTAGGTTTCAGTAGCTAAGCAATGACTGCTTAGGAAATCCATGATTTTCATCCCAAGCTGAATCGCAGAGTGGCCAACGTTGGAAGGGACCTCTGGAGACCACCTAGTCCAACCCGCCTTCTCAGGCAGGGTCCTCTAGAGCACATTGCCCAGGATCGCGTCCAGGCAGGTTTTGAATATCTCCAGCGAGACTCCACTACCTCTCTGGGTAACCTGTCCCAGTGCTCTGTCACCCTCACAGGAAAGAAGTTTTTCCTTATGCTCAGATGGAACTGCCTGTTGTTCAGTTTGTGCCCGTTGCCTCTTGTCCTGTCGCTGGGCACCGCGGAGAAGAGGCTGGCCTCATCCTCTTGACACCCTCTCGACACCCTCCCTTCAGATTCTTGTAGACGTTGATGAGATCGCCTCTCAGTCTTCTCTTCTCCAGGCTGAACAGGCCCAGCTCTCGCAGCCTTTCTTCAGAGGAGAGGTGCTCCAGTCCCCTCCGTTGGACTCTCTCCAGGAGTGCCATGTCTCTCTTGGACTGGGGAGCCCAGAGCTGGACACAGTACTCCAGATGTGGTGGCCTCCCCCGGGCTGAGTAGAGGGGCAGGATCACCCCCCCTTTATGGGTTATCAACTTAGTAAATTTGGATTTCATATTTGGGAAAAATGTGTGTCTTGCTGTGGAGGGAGCCACATCTCCCAGGACATCTGAGGGTTGTAGGTACTGTGCTTAGCCAAAGGGAATTCTTTAGACTTTTGGCTAGGAGTACAAGCTTCTTTAAATGAAAAAGAAGCTCAGAGAGCCTGGCCAGATGTCCGGTTAAGGTACAGTCAGAATGCTGTACAAAAACTCCTGTGAAGCATTTTTTTTCTCTTCTCTTGCTCATTCTTCCCCCATTAAGAAGTGCAATTTTTTTGGTTTTCCATTTTTCAATAAAATTTGCTTTTCCCAGTTAAAAAAAATAAATGCACGTCAGAATAGTAATGCTGTGTGTCACCTACACTACCTGTACTACCCCTGCAAGGAAAACTTGCAAACAGAAGTACAGAGCACCTTGACCAGTCAAGCATCTTGGTTTATTCTTTGTGGGCTGAGCTTGCGTTGCTCCCTAGCCCACTATGATGTTAGCACTTGGGATGAAGCAGCTAGCATTTTGCTAAGAAATTCAAGGAAAAAAAGAGAGCCTTCTTGGTGGTCAGAGACCAATTCACATGTTTTTTTTTCCTTTGCTTAAAATTAAATTCTCCTCATATTATTAACAGAAACACCCTTTTCAAGAAGCTAAGAATAAACATAGTGGCTCAGTTTTTTATTTTTCTGATTAAAAAAAATAAATGCAGAGAAACAATGGAAAACTTTTCCTAGTGTTCTTTTAATTAGTTGGCTTTTATAATATGTTTAATAGTACAGTCTAGCTGGAGTTAGTGTTCTATGGTTTATACATTAGTGTCCCAATTTTCAGTGATAGAAAGCTCAGAACTGGCAATCCTAAGTTATATTTCTGGCTTGCACTGTGTGCTTTGTTCGTTGCGTGACTTTTCCATCCCATTTTCTTACCCAATAAAAGTTATGCTGATAGTTGGATCTGCACTGGTGAAGTATTCTTAAGATTTGTAGTAGTGTTTTATTGAAAAATTGAATGAAAATGCATGTATGTCAGATACTTAGGATTTTTTTCATTCATTTGCAAGTTTTAAAGATTAATTGGAACAAAGGTTATGAAACGTCAAAAGAAATTCCCAGCTACTGCAAGTTTAACGTAAGGAAAAATCTCTTTTTAAACTCTTAGAACTGTGACATTTGTGTCCTTTGTTAATAAATAGTTAGCCAAGTTGGGGAGCAGTATATTTCAAAACCAGGATCCTGAAGTAGTTTAGTCAAAAGCAAACTAGGAATTTTGTTTGGTATTATTGGCAACAGTATTTATTTCTTTAGTGGCTATTATGAAATGAAAGATCTTGTCTTATATCCCTAGTGTTTTTAGTGTGTAAACCACTCTACTGCTTCACTTCTCCATCCTGTCTCTTTTTGTCAAACCTTTCTAAACTGTTGAAAGCTAGAAAAGCAAGCACCAGCAAAAAAAAAAAAAAAAAAAAGGGAAAACAAGGAAGAAAACTAACAGGATTTGTAACAACACTGAGCATTTTGGTTGGGCTATCTCCTGCCAATGGCAAAATTTTTAACGCAGTTTTAGTTCTTCCAACAATTATAATATAAAATAAATTGCATTCTCTGTACCGTGTGCACCTGTATGTGTGCGCAGACATATTTGTGCTTATGTATGTACACACATGAAATTTATGAGGATGTATTTGGATGCCTTTTGTTTGTGTATAAATGTGTTTATATATGCATGTTTTATATAATATGTGCGTGTCTGAAAGTGCAATGTGTGTCCATTCACATAACTTCTTTTTCTTAAAAAAAGCATCTTAGAAGTCTACCTTTTTTCGATATGAAACTCAGGATTTACTTATGAGACTGTGAGGGCTGGATATTTGAGACTGTGAGGGCTGGATAGTCCAACCAGTTGACCAGAAGCTTTTGGTGTCTTTTAAGTAGCTTCACAGTGGCTGTTTGCAGATAGGGTCAAATTTAGTGCTTCAGTATTGACTGTTGTGTCTTTTCTCTTTTTGGTTGGGAATTGCTTTCTGTTTAGGCAGTATAAAAAATATAAAGTGGTATTTGACTCACTTCTGGATGTCTACATTTTAATCAGTCATTCTAGGTTTCCAGTGTATTCAGTGGAGAGGAGTGGGCACTTCTAGGACATGTTGTTCTAAATTAAAACGTCTACAGCAATTGGTAAATTACCCCTTAAAAGTTCCTATTACTCTCCATTGACTGTAAAATGAGTGTAATGGATGATGAGCTGAGACAGGTGTATACTCACTGTCAGATGACTCCTCCTTTTAGCACTGTCCTCTGTTGTCCTTCCTCTTGTTAATTTATGCTTTTCTCTGAAAGTAATCTCATGGAAATAAATAGTTTCATTGTTTTTTCCCAGAGGCTTATTACTAGAAGGATACCAGTATTAAAAGGTGAATACAATCATGTGGATGTATCGCAGTAGGAAGGTAATTGCAAATTGTATTGCAGCAGGCACGGCTCATGAGAGCATAATAATCATTCGTTAGAGAGTAAATAAACAACACCATAGAGAAAGCAGGATATAAATGGCCCCTGATGCAACCTGATGGTCTACAAGAAGTAGGCGTTTGTTCTTTGGCTTTCAAACCATTACTAGATTTAGCCTTTCTTAAGTCAGACTCTGATGATAATGCCAAAATCACTTCTGTTTGTTTCTTTTGACTTTCAGATAGTTTGAAATAAATATATCCAGCTCTTCTGTGGCTCCAAACTACAATTACAGCAGTAAATTGATTTTGATGCCAGTTGTGCGTACAGTCTGAAGGCCTGCAGCAAACCAGGACAGGTGGGCATTTTCTGACCAGGAAAATGACTGACTTTTTTTGAGGAAGAAACAAATAAGCCTTTATTTCTTGTGTAATTGGAAGGCCAAAGCAACACAGTTTTGACATCTGATTAATTTAAAGAACGTTTGTCAAAGTACTGCTTGACTGTGAATTTTCTGTCACAAGCATGCCTTTGGACCTGTGTAAATAAATTGTTGGAAGAGTTACTTGGACAAAGCAGTCATTGAAGGAGTGTCTGTTGAAGAATCATGACCAAGCACTTGGAGATCATCAATTTGTCATTTTTGTTGGAACATGAAAGGGAAACAATATTGGGAGTACTGAAGAGAGATGAATATCTGAAAAAAGTTGAAGATAAAAGGATAAGGTAATCCTTTTCATTATTATTTAAAAAAAAAAAAAACTTTATGTGATTTTAGGTGTTTTTATGGCCCCCTGTGAAGATTTTTCTAGGTGCCCTGGGGGAAGGATGAGGATTAGGTGATGGTGCAATTAGTTATCTAAGTCAGGCAAATGTGTTAAAAAGAGAGAAAAATGCTTGCTAGTGTGTCCCTAAGTAAACGCGTGATTGCAAAGTGTCCACTGCTTCAAAGAAAAGAAGAAAGATAATAGATTTGAAACTTTAATCCTAGACACTTTATTGGCACCTGGAATTACTGAAAGAAGAGTAGTGATATTGTTCTGGTAAAGATTTCATATAAGGCTAATCTGCAGCCTATTGCTTATGCGTACTTCAGATTAATGACATTTAGAACACATCTTCAAACACACTACATCTTCAAATGTAGTGAAAATAGTTCAATGAAATTTGATGACTTACTCTAAAAATAGATCCAAATTCTTTTCACTAATTTTAATAATACATTTAAGATCCTATGATTCCTTTTTCATATTCTCACATGTTCAAATAGCCTCAAGGAAATGAAATATATATTAGGCTTGTGCATGTGTGTCCTGAATGTGAGAACATCTTTCATTAGAACATTAGAACACTAATGATGTGCTTCAGTAAGGAAGTTAACTTAATTGTCTCTGTGGTACAATAAGAATGAAATACTTTCTTTTTCTAGTGAACAGGTTCAAAGTGTCACTGAGAGCTTAACTCTCTTGCTAGTAGTGAGCAAAAATAAAAAGCAAGGGTTTCTGAATTTCATATTCTGTAGATTTTTGCCCAGTTTGGCTGAAGTTATGGCGTGTGAATGGAAGATTTTAATAATACTCTTGACCTTCTTTCTCAGGGGACCTGTACACTTTGTGTCTTCAGGACTGATTGTGGGAGGGGAAGATTGGAAGGTGTCACAGGGGAAGTGTGCATATACCTGTATGCGGGAGTCCATGCAGCATGGGACAAATGCAAGATGATGTGCTTTTTCTTTCTCTCGCAATGTTTACAGAAGGAGGAGGAGGAGGAGGGATGGACACTCCTCATTCCAAACAGCTTAGTAAATAAATAGAGATCAGGTATGACTTTCCTAAGATTCTGGATAGGAAAAGTAGAAACTGAGGGCGTGTCGATAAAGTCCATATGTGCTTTTCTGAGAAAAAAGATGACATTGAAAGAACAATGTGTGGAGGCAGGCTGAGAATTGGGTACTTCAGATGATGACTCAAATTCAGTTAGTTCATCTAAGTATCGGTTCTGCAAAGTTTTGTATGCCTTTCCAGGATGTTGTTGCTGCTCTCCCTTCCTCCCTCTCCCTTTTTGAAGTTTTTAAAAGAAGACTTTTAAAGTTTTCTGTTGTGTTAGTTCTGAGTAACAAGTTTAGCATGGATGTGCACAGTACTCGGCGATGACGAGGCTGCCGGGTGGGAGGATGCCAAGTGTACACCAGTGTTCGTTGATTTCTGTCCGTGTATTCCAAGGCCAGGCTGCATTGTGATTTGCTAAAAAGCATCTTAGACAAGTGCATTCAGCACCTGCTGAGGCTTCTCTATAAAACCGTATTTGTTAAGCTATGCTAAGCTAGCTGCCAGTTTTGGAAGTCATCTTCCCTTGAGAGAACCGAGTCTAAATGAAATGCCACTATTGGTATGCAGTCCGTTTAACTAGGGGAATGTAGTGGCTCATCTAAATAAGTGGGCTAGACATGGCTCACCTTGCTTAGTATAAGACTGGGAAGGAAAGATGTCTCTTTACAGTGGTAAGAGCAAATTAATTGTTGCACCTCCTTCATGGTTCTTATAAAGATGAAAACAGAAGACCAGAAAACAGATGGAGCACTGTTTGTTCTAGGCATTGTGCACAGCTTTGTAATAGGATAAGCGTTTCAATAAAAGTATTTCATTTTTCTATGGCAGTGGCCTTTGAAATATGTCCCATGCCGGTAGGTATCTATCAAAGGCTTCTGTATTAAGTGCAGCAGTGTATCAGGACACTAGTTTACCAAACTGCAGAGAAACTTTTATTTTCTACTACTGTTGTCTCCTAATTTCGAGTGGAAAGTTGAAACTCATGTTCTTTTACGGTCTCTTAAAAACGATACTTATCTGCTCTTTTTGCAATACTGGAAGAAGTCACTCTGCCAAACTGATGGAATTTGAGAACTGAAGGCAGCTCTGGAGCATGTGATTCAATAAAGGGGCAGGTGGAAGA